AACCGTGCCGGTAAGATCCAGGGTTACCAGACGAACAGCACAACCGTGCCGGTAAGATCCAGGGTTACCAGACGAACAGCACAACCGTGCCGGTAAGATCCAGGGTTACCAGACGAACAGCACTGCCGTGCCGGTAAGATCTTATAAACCCTTCATCCTTTCACAGTTGCTGTGTTTCTCTGCATCTGATGATAATGATGGTTCCTGGTCAGAAAAATCAGACAGTAACTTAATTATTATTTTTTTTAATGCTGTGTGATAGAACTATTTTCTATGAGCTTAAGGACTGGAAAATATATCTTCAACAAAGGACCAAAAACTATCGCTTCAGGTTTTATTTTTACTTATTTTTACCTGTCCTATTTTCATTTTAGAGGTCACATGCCAGGCATCTTTGCTTGCATGAAAATATATGTGTATGCTTTGTTCTTGGCTGTTTTTATTATTTAATGCTATGAATTCTAGCTCAGTTTATTTTAAGTTAAATCGTGTTAAATATTTTGATAGAGTGCTGTTTTATATTGCGTTTTTGTATAGTTAACACATATTGTATACAGTGGTACCTCGGTTCTCGAACTAAATCGAATCGAATCCTAAAAAGTTCGAGTTCTGATCGAATTTTTCCCATAAGAAATAATGGAAAAACAATTAATTGGTTCCCAGCCCCCCAAAATTACACCTAAATATGTTTAAAAAAAAATTAAAAAACACAAAATGAACAGGGTAAAACAAGAAAAGCATTTTTTTTTAATGGCTTCCAAAACGATAACTTAGATATTATCCCAACATTACCCCTGTCCTGCGCTATGAATAAGAAGCTAAATGAATCGGAAGCTGCAGATAAGTAGCTAACTTAAGCATCGTGTGACTTTGCCATTAGTTTGGGCGACATGGGCAAGAAACACAAGAAGAAAGGAATCGGCAAACGCACTGAGAAGCGCAGCAGTGATCAATAGCTCCTCCCACCGCCCCGCTCCGATTAACATATATTTCCATGTACTGTATACGAACTTGAAAATGAAAAGCCAAAGTAGCAAATGAAAAGTCAAATTGGAAAATGAAAAGACAAAAAGGGTTTTTCATTTTATTTTTCAATTTTACAGGTCTGACTCATACATGAGTGGAAAATTAAAATGCAAATGGTGCTATTTCATCATAATTTTAATTTTTGCAGGATTTTTGCGCACATACTTTGGAAAGTAAATGGCAAAGTGGAGATTGTATTTTCTTTTTATCATTTTCATTTTANTCATAATTTTAATTTTTGCAGGATTTTTGCGCACATACTTTGGAAAGTAAATGGCAAAGTGGAGATTGTATTTTCTTTTTATCATTTTCATTTTAATTTTATTTTTTGCAGAAAATACCTCCCATAACTCATTTCCTGGCGTGCACAATTTATATTAGGTCAGCGTTCACGGTTCGACTTCTGATATTCAGATCGACTTCTAGGTCAAACTGGTTTGTTCGACTTTCAAGAAATTCGAGTTCTAGTGAGTTCGAGAACCGAGGTACCACTGTAGTTTTATATTGCATAGTTTTTTTTTACTATATCGGTAACAAGGATTATATGGTTGGGTTGTTTCAGAAGAATAATCAAACAAATAAACAAACAAACATATAAGTAAACAAACAAATAAATGTGAACACGCATTTTAAACAAAGAATGCAATTTTTAGACTTAATCAGTAAACAATGGAAACAAACACTCTAGGCATGCAAATAAAATGTAATTCTTACAGATAATCCATACTGTGGAAATAGAAGAAAATATGAACTACGAAATATAATATGAAGTCCATCCATCTGTTTTCTGTGATTGCTGTTTATGGTCACAGGAGGTCTGGAGCCCATAAGTGCAAGGCAGGGAACAACCCAGGATGGGGTGCCAACCTACTGCAGGGCACAGTCAAACACTAGTCACTCCCACACCAGTCACTCCCACACCAGTCACTCACACACCAGTCACTCACACATCAATGGGCAATTAAGGAACTCCAATGAGCCTGTGAATTTTTGGGGGGGAGTGGGTGGATAACTTATGACAACACAGGGAGAACATACAAACTCCACACATGGAGCCATGGTGGAGANGGGAGAACATACAAACTCCACACATGGAGCCATGGTGGAGACCTCATGGCAACATGGGGAGAACATACAAACTCCACACATGGAACCATGGTGGAGACTTGAACCCAGTTCCCAGAGGTGGAAGGGAACAGTACTAACCACAACAGCACCGTGCCACCAAAATATGAACATGTCTGTTAACCAAAAAGTGAAACAACATAGTCCTGCTGTCTAAAACAGATGAAAAACCATGGAGGTAATAACCAGGTAAACATCATAGATTTATAATAATTTTGATTTATTCAGCCCAAATGGTAAGAAGACCGACATAAAATCAGTGATGTTTCTTAGGAGTGTGAAGTTCTAAAACAGGTCTATGAACTCCCCCTTGTGGTTAATATTGTGAATTGCTCAAAAAAACAGACGCTTATTTTCTTGCAATCATGAACAACTCTAAATGCGTACAGTATGCGTACTGTACTTCACAGACACAGTGTATGTACTTTCAGTACACAGCTGTTCTATTGGATATGGAGCTTTCCATGTACAAATCTATCCAACAAACCCATGTGGAAAATTCTATGCAGCTCTGGCCCTGTGGACCAGATCACTTTTAGCTACACAGAAGAGCTATTTTTGGCCTTTTTCAACAAATCCAAGTAATCAATACATTACTATAACGCTATTCAGGAATTACTAGTAATAAAGCCTTAATTAAATTTATCTGAAAACATTTAATTACCATAGACATCCTACAAATAACATGTAAAACGTCATTTTACTAATGTATCTTAAGGAGGATGCACAAAATTAGATGCACAAATAATGATGAGTGAAGTGAATACTTCTGACCCAAAAGGTAGTCTAAAGATTTGCCTTTGTGAGATGTAACACTGACAAGTCACCACTTCCAGTTTCAGGAGATTCTTTTTCTAACGTAAAATATGTTAGGAAACACTATGGATTGAAGGATTTATTGTTCCCAGCTGGAAAAGCTACATCACTGCCAGGTGCATCTCCATGAAAGAGAAGGAATCTGAAAGACTGACTCAGGAAGGCTCAGTGAAAGAGTAAGGGTGACGGTAGAGGAGCAGAGGAGCAGCACCTCTGACTGAGTAGGGTGTGGGTTAGTATGTTTTTTTGAGTTTTATACATATCAGTTGGTAATAGTACTGCATCAATTCCGTTAATTTTCTGTAGCCTATTTTTACATCAGAATGATGCCTAATGACGGCTAGTTTTGCAGTTTCGTGCCTTTAATTTAATATACATTAAAATATCTACTTGTCAAAAGCCATTTTCTACACATCTTCAACAGGACAGTATTACTGTTGCTATAACTGCATGCAAAAGAATCCAAAGGACTGCTTTGTGGGTTATTGAAGTACAACAAATTTATGTATGTAAGTATGTAAGTGTGATTCCACAGTGCACCAGCAGGGGGCAATCAGCACCATGCAGGTGGATAATAACAGCAGCTTGCTCATGGTTGGCCCGGAAACCATCGGTAAGGAATGCGAACCAGGAGCAACTGGCAGCATCTCATTGGCCTGATCTTTTGCTCATTGGCCAATCATCAGACGTGAGCATGGCTTTAAGCTTGGAGACTGAAAATAGCAAGTTGTACAAGTAGACAGCCTGGAGGATGAGTGCCCCCCCGCCCACCCCAAAGTGAGTCTATCTGGCCGAAGGACCCGGAGAGACTGTCCCCCCTCGCCTCCCTCCCCATGACCTGATCCTGACCAGTTTATGAGAAGAGGCTCTTCACACTGTACTGGTGAGCATGGCCCACACCACCATCATCACCACTCTGTGTATTTTCATCGCTCCCTAAATAAATCTTGACCCTCAAGGGGTATATGCCTGCAATCTTTTCATAAGCCTCCTAGACCGTTAAAATATCCAAGATGAAATCTTTGGCAGTAATGAGGATGTGAACAATAGCATGAAGCATTATGAGGGTCTCTCTCTACTGCCCCATAAAACGAGCATCTATTTCTGTATCTGTGTGATGGGTGGCTAAAGTAACAAGGAAAAGTGGAACACCCAACTGTGCTGTGCGGTCGCTGGGGGTGGGGGGGGGGGGGGGGTGCATCACAGAGAGGTAAGTGGAAAAAAAGAATGCCACCCAAGATCTTCCTACCCACCCCAGCAAGCCCAGATCACCTTCTGATCTGCAGTCAGCCCACAAAGAGAGTGCAAAGACACCCAGACATGCCGTGTGTCATCAGTATGTACTATCTTGACTGCAAAGAATTCTGGGAGTTCCTGGAGCCTGTGCCAGGCAGCATAGGGTCTCCTGATATTAAACATTTCATCAAATAAAAAAATCATCATAAATATTTATGCAACATGTAATTACAAACTGCAAACTCGCATATTTTTTGCTTCGGGAAGAAACTGTTGTATGGTGGTGCAGTGGTCAGCACTGTTGTATGGTGGTGCAGTGGTCAGCACTGTTGTATGGTGGTGCAGTGGTCAGCACTGTTGCCTCACACTTGTGGGACCAGCGATTGAGTCTCAGGGTTCAGTGTATGTGGGGTTTGCATGTTCTCCCTGTGTCATCCGAGCCTTTCTGATTTTCCCCCCATGGTCCAAAGACACGCTGACGTTAATTTTAGTGACTAAATTACCTGGAGGTGTGTGAGTGACTGGTGTCTGAGTGTGTCCTGTGATGAGTTGGTGCTCCGTCCCGGGTTGTTCCCTGCTTTGTGCCCATAGCCTCCAGTATAGGCTCCAGACCCACTGTGATCCTGAATAGGACAAGCGGTTACAGAAAACAGATGCATGGATTGATGGATGTTGTACTTTGGATGGATGTAAGTCTCTGTGAGCATAGAGGGAAGAACCGGAATCAAACCCAGAGGTGTGATGCCACAGTCTGAACCAGCAGGGGGTGCTCAACTGTAGGAGCAAAACTGAATCCTGAAGCTCCTGATCCAGGCAATTGAGGAACAGGGAAAATGAATGTTCAGCTTCAGCAGACAGAGGTTTTTCTGAAGACAGTTTCCACATCGCTCTCATGAATAGTGAGTGGCGGGGGGTGAGACACTGCGGAAGCAGGCGCAGATCAGGCTCAGGCTGGGGTGGGGGACAGTCTACCTTTTAGGCTTTTCCAAACTGACTTGGTATTATTGACAGAAAGCTGATCCTGCAGCTAGAAATGGGAATTTATGGCCTTTTGGGTTTCTGGCCTCACCCTGTGTCAGGCTGAGTTCGGAGATCCAGAAGGAGCAACACATAGAACCACTGCTCTTTTAGACCAAGAAGAGATACCCCAGAAGGAGCAGAATATGCGACCTTGGAGGTCTGGTCTGGCTGAGGCAGCATGTGGCCACCCTGACCTACAGAAGCCGTCAAAAGATGGACGGAAGGATTCATTTGCAAAATATTAAGACATACAAAAATGTCTTTACGGTGTGTATAGTTAAATATGCATTAGACCCTTGCGTGCTATATTTAGACAAGGAAACTATGATGAGCTTTAATTTATTAACTCATGAGAAGTTGCATGATACATTCAGACATAATACATTGGTCTTTTAAATTCATGATATGTACTTAAAACGTGAACATCTGGAAATACAGAGTGGAGGGTGGCTTGAAAAAGCAGAGTGATGGTATTGAATGAATCCCAGGCTGCTTTCTTTGCTTGTCACAAAGTCGCCTAAATGTGTTTGAACATCCTAAAGGCATGAGCTGCAGCTACCTGCATGGAATTTGGGCTTTGCTCTTTCTGCTTATGCCAGCAGATGGATGTAACTTCCCTCAAACACTGTGATCTTATTACATTGAGTTTGTGTAGTTGGCAGTGAGAATGTATCATTAGCAGTGAGCATAAATGCACAGATACACACACAGCAACAGCAGCGGGTTGTATTAAATGTTCCAGATGTTTTATTAGTGTTGATTGCCCTTGCTGTGTTTAACGTGACCTCCACAGTGTTCCCCTCGGCACCCCTGCAGCGGGGTGAGGCTCAGCCAGCCTGTAAGGGTCCCAGAGGTTGTGTGGCTTCAGGATGATTTTCACTTTCAGACCCCTACAGACACTCTTATTCTCTAATGTACAGCAACCGGCTATTTTCACAATGGCACTTTCAAAACTTCACAAATTAAATAAAAAATGACCAGTTCGATACCTACAGAAAAAGAGATCTTAACTTCTTGTTTCTTTGTAACATATTTAAATTTCCCTTTTTATTTCTTGAATTAAAAATATTTTTTCCTAGAACACAGAATGGTTTCTCTTAATCAGTGAGGAAGTGACCAAGAACAATATTTCCCACAGTGCACACAGACAGACACATGATGGACACCCACAGAGTGAGCGAGCATGAAAGAGGAGCAATGTGCTTTCTCAGGAGCAAAGAGAGAAGATGCTCCCAGCCACTCAGTCAGAAACAACAGACACTTAAAAATACACCTTAAAAATCATTCGACCTCTAAAAAACACCACTACAACCAAAAAGGTTACAAAAGGGCCGAATGACAGGGCTACGGAATGCTCTGTCCCCTAGAGGGACTTGGCAGGTCCAGGGAGACTCAGAGTGGCAGTGACTCCAATGGGAATGTTCAGCAAGAAGGGTCCGCACAACCCAGGGGGGGTAAGAAAGAGGGACAGAGAGGGAGGGAGGAAAAGGAGAAGAAAGAGGGGAGGAAGGGGAGGCAGTGAAGGAGTATCATATTCACAAAACTGAGGCTTTTACAAGACATGATGACCCCGCCAATCTACAGGACCACTATGCAGCTGCCGTTTGTACATAGAGTAGAGTAAATAGAGCGGTATTTAGGTGCACAGCAATGGAACAGCACAGAGAAACAGTACCATAACAGGATGTAAACATTGCACTGTACTGGCAGGAGTTCACTGAAGGTGTAGTATAGAGACAAGCCAGCTAACAGGGACACATTCTCTCCTTTCTCAGGTCAGTCCTCTCCACGTCGCACACCACGGGTGGCGTTGTCATGGTATTGGGCTTGGGAGGGGGAGGGGGGGGGTAGAGCAGGATGACTAAATACACAGGTCACCATTTAATAGTATGTTTCCTTTTCCACCCATCCTGTAGAGAGAGACACAGAAAGAGAGAGAGAGAGAGAGAGTGCAAGAGAAAGTGAGAGAGAAAGGGAGAGAGAGTGAGCGATAGTGAGAGAGAAAGCGAGGGAGAGTGAGAGAGAGTGGGGAGAAAGCGAGAGAGTGGGGGAGAAAGCAAGAGAGAGTGAGAGAGCGTGAGAGAGAGTGAGAGAGAAAGTGAGAGAGAGAAATAGTTAGGAGGTCCGCTCAGTCATCCTGAAATCTGTAGCGTATCCGTATTGATTGATGCTATTGTGCTGATATGCCTGTTCTGTAACAATTGAAAGTGTTTCTATTGCATCTCTTGTATGGGGGGGGGGGAGGTAAGGAAACAAGGACTTTGGCTTTGAATGAACTAAATCACAATTATAAGCACAACTGAAAAGTGTGTCTTATTCGGCTGAAAGCCAATCCACTCGGAAGGTTAGTCTGCAGCCCTGAGATTGGACACCATCGTGGTCTTGGTGTGCATCGTGGCAGCAGAGAAGTGATCCATTTTCAAAAGATCATGATTCATGCAATGATGATATGAAAAGATTTCTAGAATTTATTTTTCTTTATGACGTAGTGGAAACTACAGTTTTGGTTTACCTTTGATTTTTGTGCAAATTATCTTTTTTATTTAATAAGAGTGATTTTTCATTCTTAGTTTTCGTCTTAGTTCCTGTTAATGATAATAACCTGGCCACCCATCAGCTGACAAGTGGCCATATCAGAATCAGAAATCAGAAATCTCGTGGGAATCACTGGCTCCGCGTGGTCGTTTAACAGCCGTGACACAGAGTAGGCGGCGCAGAGGGAGCCGGCAGAAAGTAGGACCGTTTACTAGCCAGTGTAATATGAGGCCATTTACAGGGGTAAGATGTCATTGCCCCAATACAAACGGCTATTAAGGGTGACTTCATACACATCAGGACTCTTACACCAGTGTAGCCTGAGACCTCATTAAGATCATAAGTCTCAAGGTTGTGTGTCTCGCAGGCAGGGAACGTTTTTGCTTGTAGTTTTCAAAGTGTAGTATGATGATTGGCTTGGGATGTTTTGAGTCCTGCTGTGCCGAGGTCATGTTAAATTCCTCCTCTTGTCGCCGGATCTAAACATGACTGAAACCTTACGGGAAGTCCTGCAGCACGCTAATCAGAATCCCACCTCCTTCATCCCTCAAAGAGATGGCAGCTCTTCTTCTTGAAGAAGAAGGCCCAATATCCCACTACACAAAATCCGGGACTTACACCACAGCTTCCACATAAGGTTCCTCATTTAGGTTCTTGATAATATACTGTGAGGGGGGTTCTGTTATTTTGTGTATTACTGACAATGGGCTTTGACCAAAAATAAAAAAGAAAGCAAACCGAGTGTTATTGCTGATGCATCTGAGGACGTGTTTGTGACACAGTGTGAATGAGGATGCCTCCATACCTCCAGGGTGTCTGCGCAGGAGGAGCTTTCGGATTTCGTCGTAAACAAAGATGAGGAAACTGTAGGGGAAAGCGCAGAACCACCAGAGGGGCCTGGAGAGGAAGGAGAAGCGGAGTGAGCCTCCTGCAGAGAGACGCAGCAGCAAGCTCCGGGCATTCGGGGGGGTACTCATACTCACTTCAGGGGGTACATCCTGAGCGCCACATCCATGCCTGGGCAGTAGGACAGGAAGGCGGCCAGAGCGGTCTCCTCAAACAGCCCGAAGATCAGGATCTTATTTCTGAGAGAAACACAGCAGAAAGCTCAGAAACACGAAGGGCCTGATCGCAGCCCATGGTCGTACGGACAGGCCGCTCAGGGCAGGCCGCTGAAGGCAGGCCGCTCAGGGGACTTACTTCATGCCCTGCTGGAAGACTGAGTTTCTGCGCGTTTTGCAGATGATAACATCAGCCCACTGCACCACCACAATGCTGACGAAGAAGGCCGTGTGGCAGGTGAACTCCACAATCTTCCTCTGCTCGTAGGTCTGGGGGGTAAGGGGGGTGCTTAGTGAGGCCCGGGATCATGCTCAGGTGGGGGGTGGGGGGGGCGAGGCCAACAGGACACCTGACTTACCCACTGCTGGCCGTAGCTGTCCTCCAGGTCGTTAACGGAACGATCATCCCATCTGAGACGGATGCCGACCAGCAGCGAGGGCAGGAAGCCGTTTTCTGCCAGAATGACGAAGTAGCTGAAAAAGCCGCCCAGGGCCTGGATCATGCCTACAAAGGGTGGCATGGAAGTGAGTAAGAGATCAGGAGATGGGGGTCACAGGTAGGAGCACAAAGCACCACAAACTGCGCACCATCTGCCCATGACACACTGCCTGTAATTCAGCCGAATGCTGAAATTCTAAAGGATGCTGACAGGTTAATCTAAAGGCTCATACTGGTTTAAATGACACTGCATTAAACACAGCGCCTTCCCCCAGGGAAATGCATACATTTCCCATCATGCTCTGGTATACATAAAAATTTGGAGTTTATTAATCTCTGTAGTTAAATGCAAATGCTTTCCCACTAGAGGGCAGTGCGGACTGGAAGATGGGCCATGCAGGGCACAGACCGATCTGTCCGTAGGCGATGCTGATGAGCCTCTCATTGACCAGCTTGTCCACTCGCGGGTTCCTGGGCTGCCTCTTCATGATGTCACTCTCAGCGGCCTCATAGGCCAAGGAGATGGCCGGTACCTGCGGAGCACACAGGCCAACGTCCAAGCGGCAAAAAGTACAGGAAGACCCTATTCTGCTGACAGCATATGAAGTACAAAGGAGTGCAGCTTCACTCTCACCATGTCAGTGCCCAGGTCAATGCAGAGGATGGTGATGGTGCCCAGTGGCAGGGGGATGTTCACCATGATGAAGAAGAGGAAGGGGGTGATCTCGGGAATGTTGCTAGTCAGAGTGTAAGCGATAGACTTTTTCAGGTTGTCGAAGATCAGGCGACCTGCCAGGATGACATGGAGGCGTGTTGGTCTTCACCGGGGCAGCCCTGTGTCTAGTTCTGTCTCACTCTGTATCACCCTGTGCTGTCTCACTCTGTGTTCTGTCTCACTCTTTGCATTGCTCACCACAGCAGCTCTGTGTTCTCTGTCAGCCTGCGCTGTCTCATTCTGTGTTCTGTATCCCTCGGTGCTTTTTCTCACTCTCTGCGTCGATCACCACTGCAGCTCTGTATTCTCTATCAGCCTGCGCTGTCTCACTCTGTGTTCTCTATCACTCTGTGCTGTCTCGCTCTCTGCGTCGATCACCACTGCAGTTCTTTCTCAATCTGTGCTCTGTATCACACTGTGCTGTCTCACTCTGTGTCCTGTATCACTCTGTGCTGTCTCACTCTCTGCATTGCTCACCACAGCAGCTACATCTCACTCTGTATGACTCTCTCCGTTGCTCACCACAGCATCTGTCTCACTCTCTGCTGTCTCATTCTCTGCATTGCTCATCACCGCAGCTCTGTGATCTGTCTCACTCTGTGCTCTGTCTCACTCCCAGATTCTCTCGCTTACCCTCTTCCACACCCGTGACGATAGAGGCGAAGTTGTCATCGAGCAGAATCATGTCAGCAGCCTGCTTGGACACGTCGGAGCCGGAAATTCCCATGGCGACACCAATGTCGGCCTTCTTCAGCGCTGGTGAGTCGTTCACTCCATCGCCAGTCACAGCCACAATGGCTCCCTGCCAAGGACACGATGTGGATGGGGGTTACCACTGCCTCAAGTCTGTCTACAGAACGTGACACACAATGGCCGTGAAAGGCTTTTTACGCCAAAGACAGAAAGATTCATTGGATATAAAACAGACGATAGACAGCATGTTATGGAAAAGCATTAATATATGGATCAGACATAACAATTGGATAATATAATGTTAGTGTATGTATACAAGATGCATGATACTGTGTATAAAATTTCAGAATGATTTGTTAAATATTTGCAAAGTGTATATTTTATATTATACATAAAAAACTAAATACTAAATGTTTCCATGTGACTGCTACATGTGACTGTGTTATAGCAACTCTCTGGTGTTACGTTGATCATAGTCTATTCATGTTTGGACATAAACGGTGCAAGAATGTGTGGAAGTTTGAAATGATCAGATTTTCGTAGTTAAATGGTGCAATATAAGTTTCAGTTCAGTTGCATTTACTTTGACATTTTTTCGATTTGTGCTGGAGAATATAGTCTTAGTGAGAGCAGGGAAGCATGTTTGTCATTAGGGTGCCATGACACAGAGTAGCTGGGGCAGACAGAGCGAGTGGCGATAACGATAATAGCCTCCCTAGGCACAGACAGAAGCCATAAGGTAACTCTCCAGTCTCTCAAGGTCGTAGACAGAATGGTTTAGACGAATGGACTGGTGTTGGCGCCAACCGAAGGGGAACTAGCTGATTAACAGAAAACAGCAAATCCCGCTACAAAAAACTGCATGAAAACTAATCAAGGACAGGTGCTTTGGCGCTGGGAGGACACATAGCTGACACCGAAAGGGTGGGGAACCAATCGCAATGCGTAAACCGGACAGGGGTGTCAGTTCGCTGGCGGACTAACCAATGAAATCTCATTGCTTGACTGACGAAAGATAATCAAATATACTATAAGAGGAAGTGTATGAATCATGCATGGGCAGAGGCTATTCTCCGGTTTCTCTTCTCCTGTCAAATCGTTGAGTTTGATTGTTTCAACTTCCACAAAAGTAGACAGACATGGGGGCGCTATGCTGACTCATCGTATGGGGGGGGGGCACCTGTCTCTGGCAGCCTTCCACGATGATGAGCTTCTGCTGAGGGGACGTCCTGGCAAAAACAATCTCAGTATGGTTCCTCAGCACCTCGTCCATCTGTTCCTGAGTGAGGTCTTTCAGGTCTGTCCCGTGGATCACGCAGGCCTTAGCATCCCTGATGTGCGCATATGCACACGCACACACACACACACACACACACACACACACACAAAAGTCAGCCTCATGTCAGCGACAGCACAGTACATAAACGAGAATCACTGTGTATCTGCTCGAACATTACCTGCAGTAGCATGTAACTATTCATTGCAGACATGCAGCTAGAGTATAGCCCTTTCTGTGTGTGTGTGTGTGTATGTGTGTGTGTGAGCGAGTATGTTACCTGGGATTGACCTGGCTGACTGGAATGTTGAGCCGGGCTGCTATGTCCTCCACAGTCTCATTGCCCTCAGAGATGATGCCCACACCTTTAGCGATGGCCTTGGCAGTGATAGGGTGGTCCCCGGTCACCATGATGACCTTTATGCCGGCAGATCGGCACTTGCCAACAGCGTCAGGCACCGCAGCCCGGGGCGGGTCGATCATGGACATCAGGCCCACAAAGCACAAGTTGTCTGTTTGGAAGTTTACATCATCACAGTCGAAGGCAAAACCCTTGGGGTACTTGTCCTCGGGCAGTAGAAGGTGGCAAAAACCTAACGCATGGAGAGACAAGTGTTAATGTGCCATACTGTAATATGTGGTGATGCAGTGAAGGTTACTATGGTTACCAATGAAGGTCAGTGTGGTGAAGCAGTGAAGGTTACTATGGTTACTGATGAAAGTCAGTGTGATGAAGCAGTGAAGGTTATAATGGTAACCAAAGAAGGTCAGTGTGATGAAGCAGTGAAGGCTACTATGGTTACTGATGAAAGTCAGTGTGATGAAGCAGTCAAGGTTATAATGGTAACCAAAGAAGGTCAGTGTGATGAAGCAGTGAAGGCTACTATGGTTACCAAAGAAGGTAAGTGTGGTGAAACAATTATGGTTACTATGGTTACTAATGACAGTCAGTCTGATGAAGCATTGTGGTATGATAATTAGTGAAGGCCAGTGTGCTGTACAACATGGCGGAATGAGAAAGAAAAGCAGTCTCATTTTCTTGTCAGCTTTCAGCTTGGCCTACAGCCCCCCAGCTCACCTAACACCCTCTCCCCCAGGCCACCCAGCTCCAGATAGGCATTCTGAAAGGCCTCCTTCATCTCCTCATCCATGGGCTGCTCCTTGCCCTGCAGGATGATGGTGGAGCAGCGGTCCAGGATGCGCTCCGGTGCGCCCTTCATCACCAGCAGGTAGCGGTTGTCACTGGGGTCCTCCGTCTCATGCACAGACAGCTGCAGACACACATGGGATCACAGCACACACGTGATGAGCTGTTACGCTGTTAAATATTCTGATGAATTAATGGCTCAAACTGCAGTCTGTATAAATGCCACGTGACAGCATCTCCTAAACCAGCAAATAATATCCTTAGAGTTTAATAAGAAAATTTCGACAATGATCCCTAAGTATACTCGCTGGCTAAAACCATTTAGCAAACGCTCCCTCTATGGTGTCGCTTAGCAAAGCATCCCAGCCCCAGGTCTTTAGGAAAGATAGGATGAACTTAATTAAATCCAGGAGGAATCTCCGGAAATTGTGATCTTCTAACTGGAAACAAACAACCTTGATGCGGATGCTCCAATATACCCTGCAAAGGACATTCCCTGCAGGTGTAACTGAAACGTGCAGCCTTGCGCTGAAAAGTAGGGACTGCTGACCTCAGTCCCTCTCGCAAGTGTACATGGGCACAGCTGCCTCACAGTGGCCGGGGCCCCACCCTCACCTGGTACTTGTTGGTGGAGTTGAACGGGATCTCAGCCACCTTCTTGTTGTTGTCCCTCATGGATTTCACGGCGCCGCAGGACAGCTCGATGCACTTGAGCAGGGCCGACTCGGAGGCATCCCCTGCCACCTCCCTCTTGAGGATTGGCATGTTCTCCTGGCCGGCCTTGAACACGGCACGATTGCAGAGCGCAGCGATTCGTGCCAGGGATGCCCACGTCACTGAGCTCTTGTCAAAAGAGGTTCCTGAAGATTTGGGAGGTGCGAGAATCCATGACATGATCCTGCCTGTGACAGCACTGTGACATTCATACTCTACAGCAGTGTTTCCCAACCTCGTCCTCAGGGACCCACACCCGGGTCTAGGGAGCAAAAACACGCACTGTCTGTGGGCCCCCAAGGACCGGACTGGGAAACAATGATCTACCGTAAATGGGGTGCTACACAAAATGGCTGCCATTCCAGGCCTCACCAGACTGGTCCTCCGTGGTGTCTGCCTCATGGATCTGGTTATCGAACCACATGTGGGCCACGGTCATACGGTTCTGGGTCAGGGTGCCCGTCTTGTCGGAGCAGATGGTGGAGGTGGAGCCCAGGGTCTCCACGGCCTCCAGGTTCTTCACCAGGCAGTTCTTGCGGGCCATGCGTTTGGCAGTGAGAGTCAGGCACACCTGGGGAGACAGGGAACCGGTGTGTCACGCACGAGAAACTCTCCCTATTTAATAGGGATGTATTTCCTCAAGCTGAATCATGTTCCCGGCCAGCTGTTAAAGCTGCGGTTAATATATTAGCCTTCCACACACAGCTCGGTACATGAGACATTGGACTGGATCCATTATAGCCCAGTAACCGAAGTGAGTTTCACCCCGCTGCTCTATGATTCTTCTCGTATCTGCACAGTGGAGTGTTTGGTGTGTATTGTTATCTATACACTGCACTGTGAAATTCCTCAAGCTGGAGGGTGAGAGATTAATGTTCTATTACTGGACATGTAGTGCTAGCCAGGCGAATCACAGCAGGGTATCGATGCGCTATTAGAGCCTTTCATTCTGACTACAGACACTATAAAAGCAGAGGTGCTGCTACACATCAACAGTGCTGCAGACTGAGGGGCAGGACCTGTGGTTACTGAAAATACACACAAAGTCAGCCTCATGTTATTTTTATTTCTTTGTCTTTACAAAAATGCAAATCATGGCCTGTCGTGCATTAAGTCTTATTTATTGCCTGTTGTTCCATCCACAACCCTGTACTGTATAAGTGTTAGGAAGATGGATGTAGGAACCATGTTGAATATTGCTGTTGTTGAGCATCGCAAATAAATATTGGATGTTGTACTTATTGTGTTGTACATATTCATCGTAGAGTCTGAAAGAAATACACAAATGACAATTCCATTATACGCACGACACCGCGACAGACGCACTCACCGTGACTGTAGCCAGCAAGCCTTCAGGGACGTTAGCAACAATGATTCCGATGAGGAAGATGACGGCCTCCAGCCAAGAGTAGCCGAGGACGAGGGAGAGGACGAAGAAGGTGACGCCCAAGAAGACGGCCACGCCCGTGATCAGGTGGATGAAGTGCTCGATCTCCTTGGCAATAGGGGTCTTTCCGGTTTCAAGGCCGGAGGTCAGGGTGGCAATCCGGCCCATGACGGTGCGGTCACCCGTGCAGACCACAATGCCACGTGCCGTGCCTGGGGGGAGAGCAAGACTCCAAGCTCAAACTCATCCTGGAGGCCAGTGTCAACATCATAGGCACAGTGAGTTGTGCAGGACAGCAGCACGGTCCATACTGAGCATTCTGTTACGGCTGAACGGGAAGTAAAGGTGCACAGATTAGGCCATGTCCCCACAGTGCCTTCGAGACAGCGAGGCACGATACCTTCGACACAGTTGGTGGAGAAGAAGGCTATGTTCCGTGTCTCCAGGGGGTTGTCATGGGTACAGTCAGGTGATCGGGTCTGGGGCTCTGATTCTCCAGTAAGGGAAGAGTTGTCCACCTGAATGAAACAAAGTGATTGATTAAATTTTATGTACATTATAAAGATACCTTCTAAACATACATTAACATCACACATTTACTGAGCAGTACTGTAGTGTGCACATCAGAAGTGCACAATGTGAGTGTAGAGTCAGTGTACTTACCTTACAACCGTGAGAGGAGACAATTCGGAGGTCAGCAGGGATCCGATCCCCCCCCTTCACCTCCACCAGGTCTCCTGCCACCACCTCCTCAGCATTGATCTGCATCTTCTCTCCTTCACGGATCACCAGGGCTTGCTGAATCATGTGACCCACAGTGGTTAGCGGTCACGCACAGCCGTCGTCACACTATTGCAGCAGCACATTCAGCAGCGACTTAAGCATCTAGATGAACAGCTGCAACAAACACGATTACAGAAAAGTCTCCTTTCCATACCTGCGGCACCATGTTCTTAAAAGATTCCATGATTTTGGAGCTCTTTGCCTCCTGAAAGTAGGAGAAGCAGCCGGTGATGATGACCACAGCCGACAGCACGATCCCCAGGTACAGCTGCAGGACAGAAGAGGACAGAAAGTAAGAAATGGGGGAACGATCAATCAGCTTGCAGTTTCCACATTCCAAATCCCCACAACGATCTCCCCCTTCGTCACACTGACCCTTACTGATCCCATCCCATGGAAACACAGCCACACATTTTCCTGCCCCCCCCAATATTGGCCACGCCTCCTCAAATCGGTCCTGTCCGTCTCACTTACATTGTCCCCAGCTGGCTCGTCCTCCGTGGCTGCCTGGATGGCATAGGCCAAGAAGCAGAGGATGGCTCCGGTCCACAGCAGGATGGAGAAGCCGCCAAACAGCTGCCGGCAGAACTTGACCCACTCCGGGGTGGTGGGGGGTGGGGTGAGGGCATTGGGCCCGTCCCGGGCCAGGTACTCCGCTGCTCGGGCATTGGTCAGGCCCTTTGGGGAGGGCAGAGAGGATTTGTGGGTTTACTATAACCAGTAATTTGACTACAGCTGTGTATTTACTGTGCAGAAATCAGGAAACACCAATTCAGCTAAACTACGAGTCTTTGGACTGTAGGAGGAAACAAAGGGAGAATCAGGGTGGAGTTAAAGCTCAGCCCTGCAGGTGGGGGACCACAATGCTGCCAACAGCCACCCAAAAGCCCCAGGCACTGCACTGCACTGCACTGCACGTATGTCTAATCCATCCATGATCTTGTGACAATATTAAATCTCCAAGTGACGAGTATATTACTTTCCATCGCCGATGTGAATGGTCACCCAGCTCACCAGCATGATGCTCACCTGCACAATGTCCGTGTTGTATTTCCGACACACCTCCTCCACAGACATCTTGTGCTCGGTCTGGGGGTAAGCAGAGAGACCTTAAGTTAAGGTACCGTGCCCTGGGGGGAGCCAGAGCATAAAGGAAACTGTGTTAGGAACTCACCAGAGGGACCTCCTTCTTCAGGTCATCCAGGTCCTTGGTCTTGGGCTTCTTCTTGGGAGAGTCCTTGTCATCACCATCCTGTGTGGTGTCCTCATGGTAATTGTCTGAGCGACCGAACTGTGGAGCAGAGAAGACAGCATCGAGCAGCAGGAACAGTACCATCACCCATGTCGGTCTCACTGCACTCTGTCAGCCTCATTAAACATACAAACGGACGCATTCAGAATGCAAGGATGGATTTCATAGACTGCATCTAGCCGTCCGCTGATCCGTCATTGGCTGCCTCCTCCCTTGCACTCTGGAACACAAGCCGTTCCTGGCTCACACGCTAACACCAATACCTCCACCATTTCTTCTCTCTTACTCCATCATCTCTCCTCTTTCACTCCATCATCTCTCCTCTCTCACTCCATCATCTCTCCTCTCTCACTCCATCATCTCTCCTCTTTCACTCCATCATCTCTCCTCTCTCACTCCATCATCTCTTCTCTCTCACTCCATCATCTCTCCTCTCTCACTCCATCATCTCTCCTCTCTCACTCCATCATCTCTCCTCTTTCACTCCGCCATCTTTCCTCTTTCACTCTGCCATCTTTCCTCTTTCACTCCATCTCCATCATCTCTCCTCTTTCACTCCATCGCCATCATCTCTCCTCATTAACTCCAATACCTTCATCATTACTCCCCTCTTACTCACTCCAAAACCACTATCAGTGCTTTCTTTGCACTCGCTCCAAAACCATGGAGAGAAGTCACCTCTCTTATTTCATAACCATGGACAGTGACCTCCATGCTCGTTACAGAACCATGGCCCACTGGATCCTCTCTCTCCACATATAGCACATAATCAGAAAGAGCAGCCTCCTCTTGCTCACTCAAAAACTATGATCTGTTGGCCCCTTTCACTCTCATAACCCTGAAATACTCGACTGGATAAGATCATATGTACAAAGGAATTAAAATGTTATGATTTCGTGCCTGAATTATTGTTTAATGGTATAAAGCAATGTTTCTCAACCCAGGTATGTTGTGAGTTGGGAGGAAGCAAAAATATGGACTGTTTTGGGTTTCCAAAGCACTGAGCTGAGAAACTTTTGTATATTATACAATGCTGTATCGTACCCCTTCAGCTTAATACAATGATATCTCCCCTTATGGTTTAGGGTGTTACAATACGTGTCTATATTCATGGTATATAATACAAAAATATACAGTTAGCTTAAACATTTAGCAATTCTGACTAGGTACAGTTTATATGAATTGTATCAACAAAACAAGTCTGTGTATATATTTGCATTGCAAACACCATCAGAGACAACTGATAATCATAATATTTGAATATGAAAAAATGCTACAGTAACATGCAGCATTAACATACACCCTGTCAGTTTTTAATAGTGATGCGACTGAGGTATTGATCTGATGGCTTTGTCACATTTCCACTGGTTCCCTTTCTGAGGGTTTTTGGGGGCTTTGAATAGCAGCTGTATCATGAACATCTGGTTTTTCATTACATTCCTACGAATGATAATGTTACTAATCAGTGTTTCCCCTAGGTTTACAGCTTTGGGGGGGGGGGGCAGACGGACACTGACAGGATTCATGGTGTTCATGTGTTTCTTTTAATGACAGCAGTCAATATAACAACTGAACTAAACATCAGAACATTTCTGCTACTCGCAGGAGAGCGAGTGTTGCCATCTTCACCACCCTGGGAACGCAGATATTTTTGTCTGCTTTTCAGGTGGTTGACGCGACGTAATTTTCCGACCCGCGCTCTCTGTCCGCTGGTGGGAGTGTGCTCACTTGTCTGTGCACGCACGTATCTGTGTGCGCGCATCGGGGCGGAACTCCGCCATGCGCGATACAGAGAGCAGAGGAGAATTGTAAACGCGCGACCGTGTAGAGACAAAAATGACAAGCTGTTGTGTAAGTAAGATAAATAACATAAGGCTATTTAGTTTGTTTAATAAAAGGACAACGTATAGACCTGTTCTATAGCAAAAAGGTAACCTTAAATGACTTCTGTTGTGATGTAGCACTATATAGAAAATAAAATTAACTTGACCTTCAAGGGGGGGCGGGAGGTGCCGCTGGGGGGGGGCGGGGTACCCCCTTAATATAACGGTAGGGGAAACACTGCTAATGGCGCTACTCTTCATAGGATATCAAAACAGAAAATAACCTGCATACATACGCCATACGGCCCAAGTGAGTTGGCAGTTTAGAGATCGGTGTGAGCGTATGTGTCTGTCTGAGTTCTGGGATGTTTATGTGGGTGGTCTCGGACGGGTCTCTGTGTACAGTTATTACTGTAATTAAAATGAACATGTGTGAGTCTTTGTAGCCTCTAGCCAATGAGCTCTGTGGGGATTAAGGTCACGCACCGGGATTAACACACTAAACATGCCTGCTGCAGCCACATGGAGTCCCTCACAACACACTCTTTCCTTTGCTCTCAATCTCTAACAGACATAGAGACACACGCACAATTACTGGCAAAGAGCTCATACAATCCAAGGACCATTCCCAGAGATAAAGCATGTGTGCTACAAACATGCTGGCAGGCCTTCATCTACACACAGATATGTGAGTGGCTTTCTGGCAGCTATAGGCCGATACAGCAAGGTGACGCTCTGAAGTCAGACTCAGGCTGCTGAACCCTGACAGGCCGTATCAGGCCGCGCCTCCTGTGCACTACAGCAAATGGGCACACCTGCTGCACGGACGCCAGCCATTACCCAGCAGACATCATTAGTGCCTTAATGCAGCTCACCAGAAAAGGAAAAGACCGTTCATGCTGTTAAGGTACATTACTGCCCTCTACCTGCTCTTAGTTACGTATCTGTGTGTCTCTGTGGCTCCTCTGCTTAGTCTTCCATACATCTAATGCCCGTTTCCCCTCAAAATGGCGTCTGCTGAGGTCAGCAAATTGTGCAGGGAAATAATCTCTGATAGACGGTGCCTGATCAGGGTGTGGACCCTGTCTCATCCTGCTAAACTAGAAGAACACCAACCTCCCTCAGCCATTCCATGTATTCGTTAAATTTAATTATTTCATTAAATAACTGAGCTAAATCAGCTATTGGTTAGCCAAACAAAATGTGCTTATGGTTGAGTCATAAATGCATTGGTGTGTGGGACAGTTACCGTAAATGCTGGGGTGACTTTAGGAGAGGTTTTGAAATGGCTACACTGACACCTTGACAGACAATATAACAGTTTTACACTAACAGGAAGATCATTTACAAATCATTTTATTTGCTTATAAATAAACATGCACTTTAAGGCTTTCTTTAATGAGGTAATTCACAAGATTTAAACCCAGTTACAAATGACCAGGTAAAACAGATCATACGAATCATCGCTTATAGCAGTAATACAACACAGTATAACAGGCTATAGTTTTGTAAGTAAAAATCCGTCCTTTGGCTGAAATGCATCAGTCAAATTTTTGTTTTGAACATACGTTTCGATATATATGTGACAAAAGTAAGTACGATGTTAACAGTAAACAGAGCAAAAACAGCCTACAAATACCACTGTGGCAAAGCGATATGCGGTGGGCTGTACCACCACACGGGGAGGGCAGGTTCATTCTTACGCAGGACCCCGGAGAGAGCTATGGTCTATCCTTCTGCCTCTGGCATAGATTTGCCCTATCACATTTCTTACTGGGGAATTTCCTATTCGGGCCACGCCCACATTTAAAGCATAAATCACGATGGGTGATTCCCTCTCAATAATCAGGATGACACCAAATCTATACAAATCCAGCAGCGATCTCCACAGTATGGGGCTCACTGCAACCTTCAAAATGCATGTGAAAGGATGGTTTTGCTAAGGTTAGACAAAGAGTCCACCAGCAGAATTCAGTATAAAATAATTATTTGTGCTCGCACGTTGCCACGCCTATGTAAAATGCATAACAGTTACTACAACTACATTAAAGCCGAGACCCAAAAAGGAATACGCATGATTTAGCGCTAATTGTTGGTGTCTCTAGTGGTATAAATTGGGCATACACCTATTTTCAGTACAACTAGTGCTGGATGATTTTTAAGCTTTTCAAAGCAATTCAGTTCAAACGTCCTCATGTTCGGCTGCCGATAGGTGTAAATGCAGTCGTGAACGTTCGAGATGTAGGGAGCCGGCATTGTACAGCCAGGGGGAGGAAAAAAGGGGAAAAACGTATAGCAAGCATCACATCATATTAAGGGGTGAAAATTAATTAAGCCACATTATCAGATGCGTATTCTCACCCAATATAAATGAACCAAAACATCATGATATTAAATATGCATGAATTATTTGTATTTTGTTTTGGGAACAACAATCAAAGACATTTTCTGTACATTTTCTTCGTAATAGATAGAAAAAACTATAAAAATACAAACCTTACAGTATTAAAATGGCCTTTCTCATTAACAGTACACCTGCACACGTATAATAAGCAGAGTAATCTGAGTGACACAGCTGTGACAAAGCGAGAGAAATAAAATCGCACATCTTTTCAGCCAGCAGCCGCATTATGACGCCTGGGTGGGTGATTCGCTGTCGTGCACAGACCTGACGCAATTTGCACAGTATAGTCGCGCCAGCTAGGGAATGTTCATTTAGCTGTGCTTTACTGAAATATCATACAAGGAGGTGATGACCTGATCTCCAATGCTATAACAATGAAGCGCACTACATATATCACAGTCACGCATTTGAACGTTTAATGGATCCGCATTAACCGCATAATTTATTGTACATGTTAGTTCTTTTTTTTTGACTGAGGCACCCCACCTGTACAGAAAGACATCTGATTTCAGACTTGGCAAAAGACGCGTTTATATTATATTAAAACAGATAGACGAAACGACTGTCTTACCCCCATATTGGCGATGGCTGTCGCTTTCCTTCAGCTGATGAAACGGTTGTTTTTGCTCTGCACACTTAAAAAATGATGGAACAAGAAAATTACAGTTCCCTGCTCAATTTTCGTTTTTTTTTCTTGAAGGAAAAAAGAATACGACGGTTACAAAAAAATAATAATAAAATATACTGTATCAAAATAGTGTCAGAATTAATATGGGGATACGTGAAAAGATAACGAGGCTGACATTGAGCGCCTCTGGGAGGTTTTATTCAAATTGAGAAATATTTGTGTTTTATTCTAATAGTATAATGACAGGCGGGGTAGCTAGCGAAGATGCAGGTGTCTGACTAGTCGATCTGCGGCTGTCGAAATAATACCGTTGAAAAACGGAGCCGTGTCGCCTGATTTGGTTTTTAATTGTGGTCTCCCTCCGCGGCGCTGCAATCAGCAGCTGCACCCCCTTTTTCTCCTCCGCACCACTCTGCCTGAGGAAGAAGAGCCAGCGAGTATGCGTACGCGCACTCCCTACAGCCCGGAGATCAGAAACGGCGCGCCGACGGACCCGCCCAACGGACCACGGCCGCCTCCAATAGGGAGCGGAAGCGTTTCGGAGCGACAGGCGAGACGGCCACTCATGTCAGAGAAGAGCCGTTGACTGGCAGGTGGATGGTGCCGGCGCCACGCCCACTTTACTGCAGAATTCCTGGGCTGCCAGGCAACCCGTGCGCGCGACCTTGGCCGAGGAGTTTGAATGGGCGCGCAGCGGTTACCTATCTTTACTTTCGCGTACAGATTGCAGTAGTCTGTGCATTTCGTGAAAGCCCAGTCACCTGGAAAGCCATTGCTAGTGTCACTTATCGCATACATCCAGTTGTATCCTGTTATTTTACAGATTGTGATGAAATGTACCAGTGGCGTCTTTGCAAAAATCCCAGCTTGATCTCCTTTCCACTACACCTACTCAGGTATACAGGGAAGAGCAAGGCTTGGAGTCCAAGCACTAGTAGGGGGAGGAACAGTGATATAACAAATCTATCAAGCACAGGATTCAAACCAGCAACCTTCCGATCACAACTACATAGGTCGAGCCTGCTGAGCCACAGACCATTCCTGGGGATGGGGGTTTGCAGCCATAAGTTTAACTTTGATAACTTTTGGTTAAGAGCATACTCTCTGGTTTTTGGTGTCTGTTTTCAGAAAACTAACATTTTCTGAAAATCTTAACATTTTCGTTTTGTTTCTGAAAGTTTTTATATATATATATTTCACTGATATATTCAAAGCTTTACATCTTCAGTCACTATCTTCGGCTCCTGTTATTAGCTTAAATAATTACCACATGCAGCACAGAGAAAACGGCTGGACAAAAGCAAACCAAGCTGATAGACGGCAGAATTCAGTCAGTGAGACATTATCACATACAAAGAGCGTGTGCGATGTGTGTGGGTGTAATGTGCGGCCGCTGCTGTCAGGACACCTCCCATGCACTCTGTGTTCATGTGAATTTTTGCAACTGCAACAGCATCGAGCATGAATGCATGAGAAGAACTTCCCAAAGCTGCAGGTGTTGTAGAATATGAATGTCCAAACATTTGACATTATCAGGGCTGCCAACTTTGGGCAGCTGGCTGGCACGACATTTTCAATTTGAGACAAGTCTGCACATGCATTTACGTGTATGTAAGAGTTTTATTATCTTGTAAATAGTCTCTAGGGTTTGCAAACCATCCCAACACTTTTGATGTAGATAATTTTAAATTTATAATGGAATAATATAGATTTGCCATTAGATTTCTTGCGTGAGCGTGAGAGTCTGAAAGCGTGAGTATGCATGAGAGTTGGCAACCTTGTATCATTTTCTCTTACATGATGCACAAAATGGGAATTCATAGTATTGGTATTGCTTGCATTGATAGGATTATCTCAGTATCTTTTCTGTGCTTCTAAACTCTGCCATGTCTGTGTCATTTGTGTGTGCATATTTCATATATTGCTCTCTCTTTTTCTGAGAATAAACTAAGTGTCTGTTAGCTCAATTAATTTATTGCCCCCCCCCCCCAAATAAAAAGGGATTGCTGCATTTACTAGAGACCATGGATATTGGCATAGGACTTCCAGATTTTGTTGGAGGAATTTCAGAGTGAGTTGCTGAGCCTGGAGAAATTGGGGGTTAAAGGTCTTTCTCAGGGGCCCAACAGTGGTTGACCTTTACCACACCTATACCCTCTGAGGCACACCTAAACCCTCTGAGTTACACCTATACCCTCTGAGGCACACCTATACCCACTGAGTCACACCTATACCCTCTGAGGCACACCTATACCCACTGAGTCACACCTATATCCTCTGAGGCACACCTATACCCTCTGAATTACACCTATACCCTCTGAGGCACACCTATACCTACTGAGCCACACCTATACCCTCTGAGTTACACCTATACCCTCTGAGGCACACCTATACCTACTGAGCCACACCTATACCCTCTGAGTCACATCTATACCCACTGAGTCACACCTATACCCTCTGAGGCACACCTATACCATTTGAGTTACACATAATAATAATAATAATAATTGGTACTTTATTGATCCCCGTGGGGAAATTGTTTTTACGCCTCCCTCAACTTGCTCTTTGTAGAGCAAGCTGTCCGCATATACCCTCTGAGGCACACCTATACCCTCTGAGTTACACCTATACCCTCTGAGGCACACCTATACCATTTGAGTTACACATATACCCTCTGAGGCACACCTATACCCTCTGAGNACACCTATACCCTCTGAGGCACACCTATACCATTTGAGTTACACATATACCCTCTGAGGCACACCTATACCCTCTGAGTTACACCTATACCCTCTGAGGCACACCTATACCCTCTGAGTCACACCTATACCCACTGAGTCACACCTATACCCTCTGAGCCACACCTATACCCACTAAGCCACACCTATACCCAGTTTTGTCACCCCTAAGCATAACAATAAATATTTATTGCATCCTTGTATTTGCAAATGTAGCTTTTTTAGGTAGTAGGCATTTTCCATTCTTACTTTCCTTTGGATCTCTTTGATTTATTTATTAGTGTTCTAACTGGATTCTCTATCATGTTTTAAAAGTTTGGTTTAAAGATTTTTTTTCCTAAACTGAATATATGAACATAACATTGTATGTTATAGAAACCTGGGATTTTTGAAGCTTTTCTACTTCAGTAATTATTCTGTTGTCATTCGAGTGCATCAGAAATTCAGTTCAAATTCACACTCAGTCTGGTTGAATCCAGATGACAGGAATTATTTAATACTGACAAAGCCTTTTTCTGGAAGTTAATTTAAATTTGTAATTTCCTTTTCCTAAAAGATTGCAGAGACTGTTATATAATATATTTCTAGTATTCTGGGAATAATATATTAGTAATATATTTATAAATGTTGTCTAATTTTCATCTTAGATATTTCCTTTTGATTTTAAAGGAAGATAGGAAGAAAGTAACTGAGTAAACTCACACCTTTTCTATCATCCACTTTCTGTGCCTGGCATGGTAAGCAATGTGAGGCGCTTTGTGCTTGAGGTTTTCAAATACATTTTCTGCAACCACTATTCAGGGTTACAGAGGGTCTATAGGCACAAGGCAGGAAACACCCCAAACCATCACAGACCACACTGACACCCCATTCACACCTATGCATAATTTAATAAGACAACTCACCTTAGCATTTGGGACTGTGAGAGGAAACCCCATGACGACACAGGGAGAACAACCAAACTAGCAGAGACTTGAACGCTGATCTCCAGATGTATGATGTACAAGATAACAGTGTTAACCACTGCACCACTCTGCCTTCCATGAATGCATGTGTGCAACATGCAGTGCACATGGACTTGTGCATGGACACACATGGGGTGGTGCGCTTTTCAATAAAATTCCAATAAAACGCATTAAAAATAAGAACTTATTTTCTAAAAGATGTCAGTCATAACCCACTTACAGAAAAGGACAACAGCAATTTAGGGCCCTGAAGCACCCAAGGCAGAGGTAAGATTCTTTGGGAGGTGGTTTTCATTTACAATGCCGTTGGATCGATACCTTTTAGACGTCTAATTGTCTTTGCAGCTGCAACAAGAGGAGCACTACTGCAATGTGGCCTTCCCAGAGTACGAACCAAAGAAGGCTGGGTGTGGTAAAATGGGGAGAAAGGAATTGCTTACAAGTCAGTCATCATCTTAGGCAGCGAACTTAAATGGACTGAGCTAGGGCACTATTAGTCAGGTGAATACACCGTTTACTACACAGGAAGTGAATAATGTGTGCAAATGTGTAATTTTTTACAATCAGGAAGGACATTGGAAATATTGCATAAAAAACTGCAATCAAAGTCATACAGCAGGGTAGGCGGCCCTGATCTTGGACTGCCGGGATCCAGCATGTTATCCATCCTACCCGATGAGTTACTATCTGCCGGAGATCAGGCATGATTCATCAAAGACCAGGCAGGATAGAAAACCTGCTGGATACCGACACTCCAGAATCAGGGCTGCCTACCCCAGATATACAGGCCTTTGCCCCCAAAACTGATGCAGACAACGAAAAAAATCGAAAAGTCTACGAAATAGACAGGACATGCAAACGAGATATTTTCCTGGTGATTTAATACCAGAGTGCCAAAATCGATAATGAAAAGGTAGGAAATATGGGCGGTCAGTATGGACTTGGAACCAGTAATGAAACTGGAGAGTAACGAATCAGCGTCTGAGAATTCAGCAACCATTTTATTGCCTCATTCTTCAAGAAGCCACATTGTTTCCTGTGACACCTTTGAACTTTGGTGTGAGCCAAGGCCATTAAAATGGCAGTATAGCAAAGTAAATGGATTCCTTATTAAAGGAAACCTGAATTTTTACGTGAACTTGACACACAAATGACCAGATTAATCATATTTTTGGGGAATGGAAAGGACAAGAGAAAACTTAAATAACTACCTCCAAAATCCATCCATCCATCTATTTTCTGTAGCCGCTTGTCTGATTCAGGGTCACGGGGGGTCCAGAGCCTATCCCGAAGGCCTATCCCGGAGCCTATCCCGGAGCCTATCCCGGGGCCTGTCCCGGAGCCTATCCGAAGGCCTATCCCGGGGCCTGTCCCGGAGCCTATCCCGGAGCCCTATCCCAAAGGCCTATCCCAAAGGCCTATCCCGGAGCCTGTCCCGGAGCCTATCCCAGGGCCTGTCCTGGAGGCTACAGGCACAAAGCAGGGAACAACCCCAGCTGGGGCGCCAACCCAGCACAGGACACAGCCTCCAAAATATTTAGTAAAATGTCTTTTTTTGAGATACCGATGTTTAAGATTTTGACTTTAAAAATTTTTTTTTAGAAAGCCAATTTTACTTTTTTCAGATTTTTATATTTTGAATTCTGAGAATAGAGAATTGCTCCAGCAGAGTTGGCAGGTTGTTGAACATCTCTTGTTATGCAACCAACAACCAAACTAGGTCATCTGCATAAAGCAGGACTTGTACAAAATGACGCTGGAGGTGTGTTGATTTATATGTTGTACAATGTGTCTCTTACAGTATGGCTCAGACCACAATCATTTAATGAAATTTCATTTACATTATGTAGATGCAAATCATTTCAATAAGAGCATGGTACAGCACTTCTGACGTTCATTGATGATATATAGTGGTGCTTTGCGAGAGCCTGTTTGGCAGCCCTTCAACTCCGGCCTCTGTGTGTGAGGACCTTGCATCTCCTCACATTTTTGTGGCATTTTGCTCGCTACTCGGATTTGCTCCTGCGGTTCAAAAGCATGCAGCTAAAGGGATTCGGTGTCTCAAGATTTCCAGTGGGGCATGAGTGTTAGTGAGCGGTGCACTGGGGTTCCCCCATAGGCGCGTTAATCCTGGGGTATTTGCAGACACACGGAGACTCTGTGCTGGGCAAGCAGTTATGCAAGAACATTGCATAGAATACTGTAAAGTGTAGCTATACATGTGATTTTCTCTACTTCATGTGCACCCTGTCGTTGCTAAGGTTCCCTTTCTTTCGTGCCTGTCATTTGACCCCGGCCCCTCCCTCAGGGCGTCTCCATCCAGAGGCCCTTCTACTGATGGATCCAAACACCTCTTATAAATACAGTAGGCATTTTCCAGGATGTCACAGAGTGACTGAGGGCATGCAGTGGGACAGTGTCCATCCAGAGGCCCGGACACGCAGTGCGGCAGTGCCCATCCAGAGGCCCGGACACGCAGTGCGGCAGTGTCCACCCAGAGGCCCGGACACGCAGTGCGGCAGTGCCCATCCAGAGGCCCGGACACGCAGTGCGGCAGTGCCCATCCAGAGGCCCGGACACGCAGTGCGGCAGTGCCCACCCAGAGGCCCGGACACGCAGTGCGGCAGTGTCCACCCAGAGGCCCGGACACGCAGTGCGGCAGTGCCCACCCAGAGACCCGGACACGCAGTGCGGCAGTGTCCACCCAGAGGCCCGGACACGCAGTGCGGCAGTGTCCACCCAGAGGCCCGGACACGCAGTGCGGCAGTGTCCACCCAGAGGCCCGGACACGCAGTGCGGCAGTGCCCATTCAGAGACCCGGACATGCAGTGCGGCAGTGTCCACCCAGAGGCCCGGACACGCAGTGTGGCAGTGTCCATCCAGAGGCCCAGGTCTGCCACACCCTGGAGTCTAATGTCATTTGACTTATGATGAATATGGTTGTGCTCTTTCTCAGGCTGCCAGGGAGTGATTCCACAGGCTTGGGGAACGATCATCAGGAGCCCAGGTCAGGATGGCAGCAGGTCGACAAGGAGAAAGGTCTGTGAGAAGGTGCAGGGCAACTTACAGGGCAAAGCATGGAGAAAATGAGGAGGAATCACCTAGTGGCCCAAGGACTCCAACAGTACAGGCAGAGGTATTATATGCATGCAGGTCTCTCCATGTGCTCCTGACAAATGTCACGCAGGTCAAATTAAACCTGCCTCAAATTATTTGAATATATTTGTTTTTAAGGTACTTAGATATGATCACTGTAATTAGGGTTAGGGTTACTGAGTACTTCAGGACTTGGTTCATTTCTTTCAGCTGATGGAATCTGATGCTGGTTCAGGGATGCAGGGCAGCAGTCTGCCTGGCAGACAGTTAGCATGTTAGGGCTCATCAGTTTGATGACTGAGAGCCACGCAGTGCGTCTGCGAAGCAGATTATTGTGCTGCTGCTCGCCTTGAGTTTCATGGGCCGAAGTTAATAGTCAGATAGCTGGAGTCACTATATTGTAAAACCCGCAGGCCAGTGTGGTAGCGTGTGCTAATCCTTGCCAGAAGCTGTGGTATCATCACTCCCTAGGAATCTACCTGAGGTAGCATGACTGTGAGAACTGCTTTTGAAGGATTTTGCTGGGCCAGTCTCGCGGGAACCAATTTGGCAGTTCTGCATTTGCGATCCGAGGCAAGTCAAAGGGATGCAGGATCACGGGTGAATCTAGCTGCCTTGCAAAGAGACGAGACTTAAGAGAGGCTGCAGCGACACCATCTTACACACATATAGACTTTGTTCCTGTACTCATACATGCTCTGGCAGTGTGTCTGTGTCTTTAAGGCTCGGCTGGGCACACCAGCCAATCAGGAAGGAAGAGGGTGTCCTTGTGAATGACCTTGCAAGAGCTGGGAACTGGAGGGAGGAAGGGTTTGGAGGAAAAGAACAAGGAGAGAGAGAAAGGGAGGATGTGATAGAAAGAGAGATGGAGAGCAACATCGTGTATAAGGCAACAAAAACGAGAGACGACAAGCAATTAACATCCACCATAATACATGTTAGTATACAGTAATACATAGAAATGCATGAAGAAAATGGGCTGCGGTGTAAAAGCTTATGGTATTTGCCTAAAAGCATATTCATAAGGGAAGCGAGAGGGTTAATGCTCCCCTTCAAGAGATAAAACTGTATCTATGCTGATGAAAGGTGACAGTCCCCTTCTATTCCACAATATGAGTGTTATGGGAAGAGCGGGTAAGGGGCCGGCAGCCATGTGGACTGAGGCACAGACATGCCGACCAAGTCGACATCAAAAGCCTAGCAGCCCTGCAGTCACCCCTCTCTATCTCCTTTTCCATGTTCTTTTTCAAGCTTTCTGGCCTCGTCTCTTTCTCTGTACTCCTGTCCATCTCGGCTCCCTCCATCTTATCCTCTGACCTCTATCCCTTCATCCTTTCCGCACTCCTCTTCATGGCTGCCGTCCTTCATACCTTCTATCCATCCGAGTTTTTCTCCTTCCTATATAGACGAGCCCATTCTCGGTAATCGCCGGATCTCCCTGTTATATGTCCCTCGCTACCCACACTCATGCTCGTTCATTATGCTGTGGAGAACAGGGTGGAAGGAGGATTGTGGTTGCTAGGCAACCCTCCACCTTGCGTCATGCGGTCACGTGGGGTGGTGACCCTCACAACTGTATGTATCACTCAGGGAGAGCGTGACTTGGCCTCTTTCGCTCACTCGCACGGAAAACAATAAATGAGGCATCGACAGTGAATCTACAAACATGTTTACGAGTCACCACCTCTGGCAGAATGGGCCATGTTGCGTTCACCCCAAAATCCAGTGTAACTCATGGTGACACACAGTCAGTGCATTTCAGTCAGAGAAACTGCATTTACTTGCATGATATATACAGATAACAAAGAGGAAATATAATTTAGATATATACATCTGTAGCAAACAAAGGGGGTAAACATGTACTAAGAGATTTCGACATGCATACCAAATACCATGTATTCATACACACAGAATTCTGCAGATACATAGTTTGTAAAATACCATACTAATGATAAACTGCCAGACTACATTTGATATCTGTGTACATAATGCATACTTTTTATTTGACATTTTTATCCAAAGCAACTTCAGTAGCAGGAATGTTGTGATTTTTGTGGTGCTCTCTGGGACTTGAGCCTACACCCTATTAGTTGTTAGCACAATGCGGCACTGGTTGAGCAACACGTACCACTGAAAGGTCTTGCGCCTTGCACCCCGTCTCAGCTTTGTAACTGTGTGGAACTCACCGGTCCACTCCCTGTTCTGTGGGTTTTTCCCACACTTCACACAATCTTGCTTTCCATCATGCATGTGCGTGCATGTGTGCGCGTCTGCGCATCTGTCTGCATGCGCGTGCATGTCCTGCGACAAACTGCAAGCCGGGTGCTCGATAAGCAATTGGAAGACGGGCCAATAGGTATTTTAAAAGTTGAATTTTAAATGTAAACGTGTAAAGCGAGAGATTGACTGCGGCTGTTTATATGTATTTCCTGATGAGAATTTCTAGGAACCTAAGGATTAGAAACTATACACGTGCAAAGCCTGCATTTTAATATAATCGTCACTGTCAAAGGGGGTTTTAGGTTGAACAGTGAAATGATCAGTTATATGTGCATGGGGACATTTAGATATGAATATATCATCCAATATAAAGAAGAAAAATGCGGAGCCATTTAATGTTTACTGACACCTTGTGTTTAAGGATCAAACATCTTCCTTCGGCTGCTATACTGTGCGTAATGTGAACACACTCATTAAAGGCTTATTACAGATTACAGCTCACATGTAATGTAAGACCAAGATGACCTGAGGAGGCACAGCATTTTAGCTCCACTGCATAGATGTGGACGGCTCTCTTTTTTGTACTGTATTGCACATCTCCGGCTGCAGAGCTCACACCTTACAGGTCAGACACTGAAACTAGCCACACTCATGCCTGCTCAGCCCCAGGCGCCCGCTTGTGGGTTACTTTGGATCAAAATATATACATGTGATGTGTACATGTTAACTCCCCTGGTTACTAGTACTAATCAAGTGATTAAGCTGTTTAATATACAATTAGATAACTAATACTGTAATACTGCTTCTCTAATTATTGCTACCCAATTCCTCAAACTGGGGAAATCCCACAAAAATACAGTGCCAGTCAATAGTTTGGACACACATATCCATAGAAAGGTTTATTTGTACTATTCTCTATGTTTTAGAATAAAGACATCAGATCTATGTAATAACATATATGGAATTATGCACTGACTCAGAAGGTTGCTGGTTCGAATCCCTGAGCCGGCAGAGTGATCCCACCACTGGGCCCTTGAGCAAAGCCCCTTGACCCCACAACTGTCCTGAAGAGTGTCCCATATATGCTGAGCCTCTGGTGAAACTCCCCCAAAACTACTGTGTTTAGGTCATGTGAGCAGGTCATGTGACACGACACTATCACTCTGCTTTGTAGGCGGAATGGCATGCCCAAACTTTTTACTGGTACTGTATTTTACTCTTCACTGACACAAAACAGTCCGCATCTATAACATAGTGACTGTGGATATTATAAGCAGATTTATCTTTCAAGCAATCTGAATAGAATTCTCTTTACAAGTAGATAAGGAAATCACCAAGCCTTCAGGCACAAGTACGAAGCGACTTGGTGAAGCATGGAAGCTTCGCCCACACCTGCCCGGAGTGCAACCGGACCCCCTGAGAATATAACGGGTTACAATTTTAAAGTAACACAAGCCAAGCGAATAGCATTAGCTACATGTGGAAAGTCTGGATATTTTACACACTCAACTGTAAATTCAGGGAGGTCCTACGAATATGATTTTCCATTGGAGTTTATTAAAGAGCTGTAATTTTCAAATCAGGCAAACAGCGACCCCTGCCTGTCAGAATGGTGTATGCATGAGATGTCAGAAGGAGTCCCTGTCACTTTGACAAAGGTTACATGACATAATAGCTACTTGGAAGGGGGATCCAATCATGGGCATCTAAAGCCAGATGTCAAATGACACTTTTTCCAAGTGAATATCCTGATATCCTGGCCAGTTCAAATCCTCCCTCCTAGGTGGGGATCAACATATTAAAGCAGGGCCAGGCCACTTGTACAGTGACACAAGGGGCCGCTAAGGGCGGCATCTACTGAAGGGGGCCTGGGAATGAACCTCGCCTAGGGCGCCATCTACTGAAGGGGGCCTGGGAATGAACCTCGCCTAGGGCGCCATCTACTGAAGGGGGCCTGGGAGTGAACCTCGCCTAG